GCTATTCTGAGCTCAGCCTGCCCCATCCTGTCTTCATCTGCAAGGCTGAGATGAAAACTATCTGCAGCCTCCAGTCTCCCTCTTCTGATCTTCTCCCTGCACGTTTTATTATTTTGCTTTGACTTGGTAGCTTTTTCCAGCCACAGAACACTTCACAAAATCCTGAACCACATGCTTGGACTGGGACAGGTGGTATCACAAATGGGTGCAGAGCCACACTGCTTCTGAGGAAGCATCTGCTCATTGGAGTTAGGGCAATCATGCACTCTAAGTGGTTTTACTGGAGGGATAATCAGTTTGTGGATATTATTGGTGCATAGATGCCTGCTCTGACAGAGGTGGGCTCTGGTTTCATATCTTCTCTGTCCCATAGAGGTGTCCCATTCAGGGACATATAAGGAGGGATTAATCTTAGAGCAGTCAGAAAGACTCCACAAATGCAAATGGAGCGAGACTCATTTAAAAGTACAGCTGTTAATGTGAGAAAAATTGAGAATCTGGCCAGTAGCAAAACTGCAATTAGAGATTTCAAGATGTTAAATGAATGCAAGTAATGCTTCAGCTTAAGCAAGAGCAGACTCAATATCCAGCTGATGTGTTCATCACAAATGTGGTAATAGAGATTTCTGGTTTATTGGCTGCTATTTCGCCTAGTGTTCATAAATGACTGATACTTAATTAATTGAAGGCAATATTACAGGAACCAATCTGCTGACAAAGGCTTCTTTAAATCAGAAGTTGTCATATTTATTTTGATCTCAGACAGGCAAATTCTCAGTTATTATCTTTTCTCAGACAAAGTAGCAAATAAACAAGAAAAGCAACAAGGAAACAATAAAGATGAAATACCTGAAAAATTTTTTATGTCTTTCTCTTTTTCCCTTCCATATAAAAACTGTGTTCAGAAATTACTTCCATTATTTTTGTTTGGGGGGTTTTTTTTGGCTTTTTCTGGAATCGGACAGCAAATTTTCTGTGGTTATAGGCGAATCAGGGTCAAAAAGCAATCTCTTCCCTCATATTTCATGGTACACAAGAAGTAATCCTCAGGTAATCAATAATTCTGTTTATACCAACAAATAAACTGTGCCTCAGACCACATTCTGGCCCTGGAGGCAGGGGCACAATGTGCTCACTTCTAAGAACACCACACACTGTTATCAGCAGCATGAAGCGGGTTTACCAAGCCAGAGTGGACTCTTTTCCATGCTGTCTCCCAAGTCATGCCCAGTCACTGTTCTGGAAGTCTCAACTGACAAAAACAAAGCTCATATTTGCCAAAACTTGAGATTTAACAGTTTGATGACTGATGCTGAGTGCTCAGTCTGTGCAAGTTAGGGCATAGTCCAGACTCCAAGCACAGTAACATCTTTTTTATGTCCTGAACTGAGGAAAGCATGAGCAACGTCCTTCAGGAAGTGTCTCAAAAATCTTCATTGAGACTTCATATATCCAGCTTTGTTTTCCTGCTCTGCCACGGTCTATCTGCATGACCTTGGGCAAGTCACTCTCTGGCTGGGCTGCAGACTGCAGTGGACAGGCTACTGTGTCCCCAAAGCAACTAGAGCTGGCATTTTCCTTCGGCCTGGTTCACCTGCACTTGCCTACAATGATCCCTAAGTAGACAGAGTGGATTCTAAACCCACCTCAGGCATTTGAAACCACCCTGCAGTCTGTGCTCGGAATGTGAATGCTGTGTCTCTGCTCCTTGTGAGTGGAGAGACCAAGTTCCTGCCTTACAGAGGGATAGGTAAAGTACAAGTATTTAGGGCTGTAAGTTCTTCTAACACTACAGCAAGTAATGGTTAAACAATTGTCCTTCACATGCAAATTTCCTCAGGAAAAGCCAAGCAGTTTCATCAGGTTTTGCAGCCCAATAACAGCTGCTTCAAAACTGGAGCAGTTTGCCGAAACCTGCTTGAGTGGTTCCCAGAAAGTCCTGTGGGAAACCTGCCAAAAACTCACCCCCTGTCAGCCTTCAGCCAGCCTCACCTGAGAGGTTTGAACTGATTTGGCCTCCATCAGGAGATGAGAAGAGAGACAAAGTGAAAGCTTCTCACAAGGCTTGCGGGAAATAAAAAAATACAAGATGTTTTTGCAGCTCCCAGATGGAGGAGTGGAACAGCTCAACACTGTCATTGTGTCCCAGAGCAGCACAGTTTGACACTTGACCCATGTCAAGTAAAATAAACTGTGCTGTAAACTAAACACATATGGGGCACCTTCATGGTTTTTAAATCCCCATATTGTTTTTAGAAGAATTTTGTTTAATTTGAGGCTGTTATTAGAAGAGCAAAACCTACCGGTATTAACCAAGCAACATGACCTTTGAGAAAGTGAGGCAACCTAGAAGATCCTACAGGGTGCTAATGGTGCAGGAAAGTTTAGCTGAGAAGAATCCCAAGGGCATGGACCAGTGAATGAGATGAACACTGGCCCACACTGAATAAGAGCAGGCAGATTTGGGTCTCTTGTTTGCAGTTCCATGAGGTTTAACCACAACTTTTCCTTGTTGTCACAGTTCAAGTGTGAAGAAATACAAAACCTCACAGATACAGCCACAGGGGTTCTGTGCCTTTGTTAACATCCAGAAACTCATCTACCCAAATGGGTGCAGCATCTGAGATGTTTCTGTTTAAACACAATGAGACACCTCAAAACAAGAAATAGAGGCCTGAGTTTCCACAGCCTTTGCTCAGAGGTGCAAATAGAGGGAGGTCAGTAAACAGACTGAGAGTCGGGGATTAAACCAAGATCTTGCCCATGGTTTGAAGGAGTTCACAAGATGTTGCCCACAACTTCCTAACCCTTGGTAGATGGGACAGCAAAGATGACAGACATAAACTAGTGAATTATTTTATACAAAACAGTAATTTAATCCCAGCAGCTGGAGCCAAAGAGACCAGAGAAGGTGTGTCTCTGCAGACACATCATTGTTGAAGACCAGCCCAGGTTCAGGGCTGACCACAGATCCATAATAGTGTCCTTAATATATAAGAAGAAGCAAAATAGTGGCAAAGTGTGTTTCTCTTTCTCGGTAAAAGCAGGACTCACATAAATGAGTTGTAATTGCTGGCCTTTATCTGAAGTGAACTCACAGCCTTTGGTGGCTTTACCTTCTTTCACTGGCAAGAGGACAAAAAGCTCCCCACCCTGCTCTGTCCAGCTTTAAACTGAGTTACTTAAGGGTGTTTATTCCCTCGCCCAGAAGATGAAACACAACAAGTCTTTGGGAGATTGAAGGTGCTGGGATGGGGTTTGGCAATGCTCAGTTAGACTTCTATGTTTTGGGAAAACCTTTCTCTGTATGTGAATTATCTGGCAATCCAGACTACATAATCTTTTCCTTTGCTTTTATCTTTAAAAAAAGGAGGAGCTGTAGGCAATCTTCTAATGAAAAAACCACAAGTGACTGCATCCTAGTTTTGATAAGATCAGTTAGGGTTTGTCTAGAGAAGAAAATTAATCTGGATTTAGATGATAGGATGACTATTTCTGTATAAAACTGCTTTATAACACTTAGATTATCAGTGTTCTTCACTGAACTACCTTAATTTTAATTCTAAAAATAAGCAAAATGTAAAGGATTCACTTTAATTCTGCAGTAATAGCATGAAGATAAAATTTGTTCAGGGATATTTAATCCAGAATAACTTGTTTTTCTGAGCACTCTTTGCACTCAAGGCTTTCCAGCAGTAGCAAGGACACCTTTTCGTTTCCACACACTCCACTCAGGCAGCCACAACTCTGTACAAAGCAATTACTGTAACATCTACAGCTACGGGACCAAATCCAAGCTGTTCCACCTGGCACTTTTATTGAAGGAAAAAGACAATAAAATAAAATCAATCTATGTCTCTGCTTCAGATTTCGGAACAGGCACTAACTTTATGGGATCTTTTTCTGGTAAATGTACAGTAAGAAACAAATTATAACTCCAGGATCTTAGTGCTGGTACTTGCAAGAGCATGTCCCTCAGCCCCAAGGAACTCTTTGAAAAAGGGGGAGAGGTAACCCCAGAGATCTCTGGTTTACAAGGAGGAGCGTGTCTTCTCCCACATGACCTGGGCCATGAGTAAATAGTGTCCTAGGGAGTTTGTTACACTCTGTTAAATAAATCCTGCCTCTGGTGCAATGCCCAGGGGAGCATGCCGATGTACTGTAATCCACAAAAACTTCTTTGATGAGCTACCTGCAAACTTTGTACCTTATTTACTCACAGCAGATTAGTCCTGGTGAGCGGAATTGCTCCAGATGGGAGGGAAAGCAGATGGGTGCTTGTGTGCCAGGGAAATAGTCCTGAGATAATTTGTACCAAATTGCTTATTCTTTTAATTTAGAGGACTGAAACTTCTTTCACCTTTCACCTTGTTTCAACTTTGCTGGAAGCCTCTAACTGGTGAGATCCATCCCAAAACTCCAGCCTATCCATCAGCGACAGAGTTAACAATTTTTACACTGAGAGAGAGAAAAAAAAAAAAATCCCACTTCCCTTCACCTTCTTTGCATGCAGGTAAAGAAGGCAGGACACCTGAAATTGCTTCTGGCCCAAACCTCCTGCTGCTCTTACAGCACTGGCAGGGGCAGGGACCTCACTGTGCCTTTGAGGAAAGCTTTTCCTGGCCACATTAAAGACAAATTATCCCACCACAGCAGTGAGGCTGGAAAAGGTGATAGTGCAAACCAGCTCTCCACCCCCCACCGACCTCCTGTCCCATGCCCCCCATGAATGGGACCTTCAAGGCATTGCAAGGTCTGCCGGTGCTCAGGCTCTTCTCCACTCCCTTCTTCTCCTGCTCCGGCAGCAGCGTCCGGTTCCCCACCCTCCCTCCTCGCCCAGAGCAAAGCAAGGCACCAGATTCAGCTGCTTCACGAGGAAAGCCCAGATCACACACATTTCCACAGAGAGAGAGAGATATGATTATATTTTTCTTTGCTGCTTAGGACAAGAAATGAAGTGCTGCCTCTTTAATTGGCGAAAGCATGCAGTAAGAGCATACCTTTAATTTAGTGTTGGGATAGCTCACTTGCACACTGGCTGTTGTCTTATTGGAGAGGGCAGCCTGCCTCAGATCCTTTAGCACTGAAATAATATCATCCAGCACGCATTTCTTATCCTGATTTCTCAACACACACAGATGGGAAAAAGTATAATTATAGCCTTTGTAGTTCACCTTCATTTCCAGCACGGCTCGGTGGATCTGCAGGATCACATCAGCCTGATGCAAAATATTGCCTCCGGGTTTGGAGAGGAGAATCACCCTGCCATACCTCCCCGGGGTGTGCAAGTCCGAATACAGCTGGCTTTTGGATTGATCGAGGGAGAAAAGGCTGCTGGCTAAGCTCCTCTCGATCTTGGCCAGGCTGTGGCTGGGGGCTACCAGGCTCTCCAGGTCAGTGTCAGGCTGGAAGCGGTTGAGCAGGCTGAAGCCGAAGATGATGGTCAGGACTGCGGGCACAGTGAGGAAAAACACCGGATGCCTGCTCACGAATAAGCCCAGCTTGTAGAAAAACGACTGGAGCCCTCTGTGTATCACCTGCCGCAGCATCCTCCACCAGATCCAGCCTGCAGATGCTCCTGGCCGTCTTAGAAAGCACATGTGACATGTGTAGCTCCTTACCCCTTCCTGCCAGTTTCCCTTTCTCTCTCCCTCTCTCTCTACTACTCCTTTAAAAGACTGCAGCAAGTTGCAGCAAGACAGCCAAATATTGATCAATGGGGTGTGTGTGTGCGTGCGTGTGTGTGTGTGTGTGTGTGCCGGAGATGGAAGGGACCGGGCAGGGGAGGGAGGGAAGGGGGGG